GGCTAGAGTGCCGTGGCATCAGCTTAGCTCAGAGCAACCGCAAACTCCTGGGCTTAAGCGATCCTTGTGCCTCAGTCTCCTGAGTAGCTGGGACTACAGGCATGCACCACCATGCCCAGCTAATTTTTTTATATATATTTATTTTTACTTGTTCTCAAACTCTTGACCTCAAGCAATCCTCCCACCTTGGCCTCCCAGAGTGCTAGGATTACAGGCATGAGCCACCGCTCCCGGCCTTTTGCTGGAATTATTGAGAAAGAAATTTTTTTTCCAGCCAGGACTGCAAAATGCAAACCTGGAACTGCCAGTGACCATCTTTACAACAAAGGGAAGAACCTGTTTGAAAGTAAGGCCAGTACTGAGAGGAGCTATTCTGTAAAATGGGGAGAGAAAAAACCCTGGTGACAATGATTGAGTGCCCAGATCTGGCCCAGGAATTTTTGTTATTTCAGTGAGTCCCTCTTTCTAGAACCAGGCTGAGTGTGATTTTGACAGTTGTAGTCTAAAGAATCTTGATTAAGGTATAAGATAATTACAGGGCTTTTCTACTGTGCACCCCATCCACATGTGTAGTTTGTGATTAAAAAGAACCTGTCACTGATTACTTCATCACATTTTTATTTTGCATATACTATGGCAGTCATGGTGTAGGGTGCTTGGGTATAAAAATGAATAGGACAAACTTTGCATCAAATAGGCACATGTAAAACATGTGAGCAATGCCCCAACATGGTGGTGAAGAGCACGGATTCTGGAGCTTGCCTGCTAGGGCTATGGTACCACTGCTGTTTACTTCACATACTTCTCAACCTCTTTCCCTCAGTTTTCCCATCTATAAAATGGGCAGAATAATTGTTGTGAGGACCGTCTTAGTCTATTTGGGTTGATATAAGAAAATATCAAGAACTGGATAGATTATGAACACCCATTTATTTCCTACAGTCCTGGATACTGGGAAGTCCAAGATCAAGGTGGCAGCAGATTTGGTGTTGGAGGGGACATGTCTTCTGGTTCATCAATGGCCATCTTCTTACTGTGTCCCCACATGGCAGAGGGAGCTCTCTGGGGCCTTTATTATTATTATTTTTTTAAATAAGGGTATCAGTCCCATTTTTGAGGACAGAGCCTTCATTACTCAATTACCTCCCAAAGGCCCCACCTCATAATATCATCACATTGCTGATTAGGTTTCAACATATGAATATTGAGGATATATGTAAACCATGCAGACCCTAGCAAGGACCAAGTGTGCTGCTACATGCAAGCCACTTAATAAGTGCTCAGTAAGTGTTTGCTATTGCTACCGTGACTATGCACTAGCTCCCAGACAGTAAGGAAAACACATGAAGTCATCTGTGATTCCCTTTGGGCACAGGGGAAGGGGAAGATTAGAGGAAAGAAGGCCACTTTCGAGCTGAGTCTTGAGAGGTGAGTTAGCCAGGCAGACGAGGACAACGACGGCATTCTGAGCAAATGAAACACCAGGTTCTGAGGCATGCAACAGAAGGCATCCTAGAACTGCAGTGATCTGCACTTTCTTGGATTGCAGGTTGCATGTAGTGACTTTTAGAGATGTGACTGTGCAAGAAAGCAGGTTAGGTAGGATAACATCTTTTGCAAGTGACCGAAATACTCAAAGAGCTTATGTAAAAGTGGCATTAATGGTTGCCGTACCTGAAAAGACCAAGGGAAGAGCTGGCTAGAGGCATGTCCAGACCAGGGTTGAAACAATGACTCCAAGACCCATTTTTCTCTCTTTACCTCTGTTTTGCTGCTTCATCTGTGGATGTATCCATTCTTGAGTGGTATTGTTTGCGATGGTAAGATGGCTGGTAGAGGCTCACAAGCTCAAGGCTGATGGCAAAGAATAAGACACCTTTTGTGTTGTAGGGATTGAGAGAGCCATTGCCAGTTTTAAGGCTGGGAAATGCATGATCATTTGCATTTTAGAAGGTCATATGCAGCCTAGGATATGGAGGATGGATTGGAAGGTTGGGGTTAGAGGCAAAGGTTCAGTTATAAAGTTTTGTACTGATCCAGGGAAGTGATAGTGAATATATGAATGAAACTGTGGCATTGGGAAAGGAAAGGTGCAATGAATCAGAGATGTGCATTTTGTGGCTAGAAACATAAGAATTTTATGCTGGGCAAAATTCAGTGGGGAAGGGAAGGAAGATGTCTAAAATGCAGCTTAGATTTTTGGCTTTGGTGCAGGGTGAGTAGTGATGCTCTTTATTGAAAGTAGAGCTACAGGAGGAAAGGGTGAGAGGAAGGTAGGGATGAAACAAAAGATACCCAATATTTAAAATTTATTTATGTTCATGATATTTTACATGGAGTGGTAGAGAAAAGTATATTCAGAGTTTATGGAATCTATTTCTTTTTTTACCATAAGCAACATTATTCACAATGATAAGTGACCTGGAAATGCCCTTGTGCACACACAAGCACAAGGAAACACCTGTCTTGTAAATGTGTAGCACAGGCAGATGCTCATTCATGTACACACAGCTTTGTGTCAGCCTCACTCTATCCTTTTTTTTGTTTGTCTTGCCCTTTTCTTCTCATCTGCTTTTTACTGTTGTTTTCTTTTCGTATTTTATCTGTCTTTGTAAGTGGCTTTAAATCCTTCTGGAACAAGATGGTATATAGTCAATAAATTTTGCTTAATACATATTCATTACAAGTCAGCCCTTACAAAGAATGGTTGGAATGCGACTTGGAATTTTTTAAACCAAAATTGCTCTTCTTCTTTCTTTATACAAATAAACATAAATGTACATAAATCGTATCTGCTATTTTTGTAGGAATAAAAGACACCTGCAGTTGCTTAAGATTTTATCCTTTTAATACCAAAACAGCTCTCCCTTTCCCACATCAGCTCTCCTGTCTCCAGCACCACCCCGCCAGATATCTCAAAATAAAATTCATCTCTGGGCCTAGAACCAATTAAAGGAACTTCAGTTTTAAAAGCGACTCAAAATAGGCTTTGTAATAAAAGAAACATTTAAAAGATAAGTAAACAGTGTCCAAAAAATGAATGCATTTGTGGATTACGATCAGAAGAAAATTTTAATCATAGTAATCTCTGGTTTATGACTGTCTATAATAACTTTTCCAGTTCTCATTTCTCCAGCAAATCCTCTGGTCTTCAAAGGGCCCGTATTTTCATTTTTCCTAGATTAGCTACTTCTGTTGGTTGCTTTTTATACTTTATAGCCTGGAATTCTAGCCTCGGCTGTTCTCTGTAGGCAGGTGGCTATCTCAAACCACCTTTGCTCTCTCATCTTGGTCCAGTGCTGATTGTTCTTGGTCACTTGGATCTGTGTCCTGACTCAGAAGGAGAGCAACAAGTAGACAAAGTAGGGAGGCGGAAGAAGACAATTGAAGCAAGACAGGGCTGAAAGACAGGAGAAGCAAGCATTGCCCCCTACCACCCCCCCCAACTGCTTTTTCGTTGCAGATTTCACCTCTGATAATGGTGGCACCCAGTTCTGAAACATACGGGGACTTCACATTTTCTCAAGAGGAAAGTTCCCTATCCTTGGTCTGGCTTTTGAGGCTCTTACAAATATGGCTCATTGATTCTGCTTCTGAGTGCCTGTTCTCACTCTCATGCTTTGTCACCATAATTAGCTCTGTCTTAAGTGCCCGTTGCCCCACTTAGGCCACTCAAAGTCCTACCCATCACATGAGATCCAGTTCCTCCTCTCTCACACCCCAATTTGGAAGTAAACATTTCCTCTTCTTTCACAGCATTTTGCTTGTATCTCAAGTGTAACACATCATATTTTAGCATGCTCTTTTCCAGAATATTAATAGGTATTTTTGTGTGTGTGCATGTCATTTCCTTTCTTGCATAGAAAGGAAATTAGAATTCGTGTTCCTCTGTCTTCATATAATCCAGCATGGGGATTCAAACATAAGAGGCATTAAAAAGATTTATTAACAGAATGAGCCAATAGAGGGACACATAGAAGGAAAATTAGAAGATGTCGAAGGGAGGGACTAACGGAATACTATCACTACAAGCCAAGCGGTAGATGAGACAGAATTGTGGATGAGATTACATGAGGAATTACAGTTTAGTGAGGCACAAGGTGCTGACACTGATGAGAAAATGGGACTAAGGGAAGTGTGTGACTTGGAAGGGACGTCTATTTACTCAGACATTTAGTCTCTCTCCTCCACTTCCTCCTGTTCAGCCCCCCTTATCAGCTCACTCATCAGTCAGTGGACACATGCTTTGCTTTATTTGTTAATTCAAGACTTAGGAAATCTAAGAGAAACAATGTCTTACCACAATGTAAAGTAGTGCTCATGTTTATGAGAATGCTATTAGGACAAATGTTCATCCTGGAAAACCATCATGCTACAGGATTTGGGAGGATGACTTACTGCTGTTTCTCTTCATTTCAGTCTTCATTTCCATAACTCCCCCAGGTCTCCTCTGTCTCTAGGTTTTTTACCCCTTCCCAGGTGAAAATACCAATGAGGCGTTGAGCGTGGAAAAGGGAGAAGACAGATGCTGAATTTCTTGCTCCCTTTGCATTCATCACACCCACTTAAACACACATACCTGGGCATGACTTGTGTTTTTCCATGTGTAAAATCTTGTCTGGGCTCCAGCCCCAGGAATAGCAGGTCCTGTGTGCTTGCAGCGTCAAATCAATCTGTTTGCCATGGTGCTCATCGCACTGAATTGTGATAGCATGCTCACCACACACTAACCTGTCTGAAGGGAGAGATTTTGGCTTAACTCATTACTAAATCTGACCCAGCAACACAATGTCTGGTCCGTACAGGCTCATTAAAGAGGTGTTGAGTGGATATATACAAGCATGAAGGAATGAATGATAAAAGAAGTTTATCACTTCACTTTAGCTTGCTTGAAAATACTTAGCATTTCTTACCTTTTGTTTTTGACTTACTATAGCCTTTTGAGAATTGTCAAGGACTATAGGATGTTATTATTCTCTTAAATAACAGACAGAAATGAAATTTTTTGAAGATTTAATGAGGCAATATCATTGCCAGCTGGTTTTATCACGCAGGGCATTTAATATAAAATTTGTTAACATTGTCTTTCATTTGTTTAAATATTTATAAACATTGCTTTCAAGAGAATTCATATCTGGGGATATTGTTTTAATAATTCATTTTGGTGTGGTTTCAACTGTTTGGTGGTTCATCTTGTTTGGATAGATTTTGTTGGAACTGTCTGCAAATGTTCCGGAATCTGAGTGAGAATCCCTTTGGATCCCATTCCTTCCTGTTCCACCTTCTAGAACCCCAGATTAGATCCAATTGCCTGCCACGGGCATCTCAGAACCTTCAGATCAGCAGTCCTGATCACAGTTCGTCGTCTTCTGATATGGAATCTAGGTAGTCCGTGTCAACGTATAGGAGAAATCCAGAGAATAAGCTGTCTGCCCAACCTGGGTCTGAGAAGAGGCCATTCTGGTCAGTGAAGAAGATCTCCAGCCAGACTTCATCTTCTGGCTGCAGATAGATGACCGTGGACCCTGAAGCCACATCATGGTTCCCCGTGTTGGCGTCGAAGGTCTTTATCCGGTACTGCCCATTGTGTACCAGCCCAATTGCCAGATGCTTATTAGCCAATGTGATGTCGTAAGAAAAGTAATAGATCCCTGGGAAAGCACAGATGAACTTCCCTGTTGCAGGGTTGTAGTGCTCTCCCTCATTGAAGAGGACCTTGTTAAATATGATAGGTAGTCTTTCTTGTGGGTAGCTGGTTGTGATGCCAACAGAAAAGGCGGATTTGAGCACGATGCTTCCACATCTGCAAACTCCAGGCAGCCCTGGGTCCCCTTGCTTTCCTCTGTCTCCCTTTGGTCCAGGAGGCCCAACTGGACCCACTTCTCCTTTTTCTCCATCTGGTCCTATAGGTCCTTTCTTCCCAGTCTCTCCTTGGTCCCCTTTCTCGCCAGCAAGACCCACTGGTCCAGTCTTACCTCTCAAACCTTCAAAAAGAGTGTATAGTTAATTAGTACTCCCTCTAAATACACAGTCACAAAGAGCATACCTACACAGTCCCAGCACACCCTGACTTTGTCTTTTAAGTCAACCTTCAACAATGTAACAGTTCATGTCTAAATGATAAACCTTAAAAAATATCACTGATGCACTAAACATGAAAAGAAAAAAAATGTCACCAGAATTTAAGCCAATTTTTTTGGCTATGTGAGAAATAATTTAAACCCTGACTAATTTAAAATAATGAACAATCATTTTGATGACGGATCACCTGCCACTCAATTATTCACATATAGACACTAGTCACTCTAGTAAGAATTTAATGAGTATGATGCTATTATGTTATTCCCCAGAGTGGTCTCATGAAAGCAGACAGACCAGACAAATCCTTATGGGCCATCTCATGCCCATTCTATTTCTATTAGTATTAATATAAAAGAATTAATTAGATTTGCTTATGTTTATCAAGCATTTACTATGTACTAGGGACATCTTTTCATATATGTGCTATATTTGCATGCATTATCTTACTTAAGCTTCACAGTGACTTTATGAACTAGGAATTATTGTTACTTCCATTGCAGATGAGGAAACTGAGCCGTTAAGAAATTATTTTGTTAGGAGAACAGAACTAGTGAGTGATGGAGCTGCAATCTGCACTCATGCCTGCCTGATGCTGGAGCCTGAACATCCCCCGTGGGGGCAGTGGCTAGAGTGAAACTGTCAAGAGCACTTGGCACACATAGCAAGGGCTCAATATGCTACAACAAACAAAAAACAATGACTGCCACCAACACGTGGTAGTCCTTTTTGGCAGAGAATACTGAGTCCCAGAAAGATAAGGAAACTTGCTTTTGTGGCAAGACTGGGATTAGAATCTAAACTTTCATAGCCTTAATGATGCTTCCCTTTCATCAAAATTCCTCTTGCTTTTGGGGCTAGAGTCAAAAATCCTAAATTCTCTTTGGCTCTGCCACTAAATTGTTGTATCATTTTAGGCAAGTCTGTTAATTTTTCTGGGTCTCCTTATATACAGAAAAGACATAACAGTTGTGAAAGGATTTCAACAAATTCAAAAGCACCATATAGGAATATTTTCTGTATGTATAAATCTTTATATTTGTAAATCTACTGTAGGCTAAATGCAGAGAAATAATGATCCTGGTTGCAAGTAATAAGCAAAATGTATTTAATTTTAAAATCTCATATATATGTGTATATATATATATATATACACACACACACACACACACACACACATATATATATATATATATAAAAGCAATGACTTTATACCATAGAAAGATGTCATTCAATTTTATGGCCAAATCCATTCCATAAATAGTGCTTGTATAATGATATTTTCTCAAAAAGTATCCAAATTATTGGTAACCTATAATGTACTTTTGTAGTTGGAGAAAATATATTGTTGAAATATTGCATAATTTCACTTTTAACTATGTTTTCATTCTCAAGAACTTTTATTAATCTGAGTCTTTTTACCTTGATAGTGCTTTGAGATCATTTATTTGAATATTACACATACATCAAAATATGAGTTTGGTAATTTGATCATTTCTCAGTTATTTGGCCAAGTTAACAATGAAGTGTTCTGGGAATTGTCAATTTGAAGAGAATTAAAGCTTTTTCCTTAAAAGGTCAAGTATTTTGTTTTAATAATTCTGGAAAGTTGCTGTTCAACAATTTATGATGCATAGAAGATGATAACAATGAATGTGACCCTCTCTTACAGAGTCAGGATCAGCATTATTATGGATCACAGTTCTGTCTGCCCGCTGCAGATTGCACATGGCTTTTCTTGTTAGGTTGAAACTACTGGTGTCAGCCAGAACACACTCTGATATTTATTTATTTCTTGAGATAAGGTCATAATAGTCTGATCAATTAATATTTACTTTTTTGGTAGAAATGGAATACGAATATTATTTTGCTATTACATTCGCTTTGGAATCAAAGACTACAACTTTTAAATTATGATTTTTATCTTCAGTAGGAGCTTTTCTCTTAGTGTCTTCATCATTGACCTTGGATGCATTAATAAAAACCATTTTGATCTCAGTAACAATTTTCACCATAAAATGTCATTATGTACTTGAATCTTCCTGTCTTTTGGGGCCAGTCACTTCTTTTCTAGGGTTTAAATGCCCTGTCTATGTAATAGGAGAAATTGGATCTAAGTCCACTCCAAACTTAGTGGACAAAGCAGTAAACAGTGGCTCAGCAGAGCTGGGGTAACACCCCAGTTCAGCCATGGATAGTTAGGTGAATTTGAAGAAGGGGCTTGATCTTTCTTGCTTTAGTTTCCCAGTCCTTGAAATGAAGGTGTTGGACTAGATTGTCTGAGGTTTCACTCTTTTAAAAATTCTTTGACACCAAATCATACATATTGGGTGCAATTTTACAATGCTATCCACAAAAAGGCCTTCACAACCTCAACATTTGGATTTTCTATAGGAATACTTATTTAAGATACAAACTGCTGGGAGATAGGCAATCATGAACTAGCTGTGATAATTTATATTAATAGTAATTATTCCTGTTTGCATGAAGCATTTGTCTATGCGCTGAGGTTTTACACAATAAGAGTGGAAAGAAGGAATGAATCCTTCGTTCTCTCCCTTTTCAGTCAGACATATGTTTAGGTAGAGCAGAGAATTATGGAGTAAGGGTGAGTCTATACTTAGGTACTGAAGCTAGGCCAGAAAGGATTTCTTCTTAGTTCTCTGTGACATGCATCTACCTAGATTTCTTCTTCAGTGCCATTTCTTCCTTCCTGTCATCCATCCATCCATGAATCTATGCATACATGCTTGCATTCATCTAAACCACCTACTATTGATCAACTATTCACTACGTACTCAGTCACTGGGCTAGAACATGAATGACACCTGCCCCACTCTCAAGTCAGCTGTTACGGCATATTATCTTGTGACCTGCAAATATGAACCATAGCTAAGCTCATGAATACCTAAATTCGTATGATAAACTGGAATGAGCAATCTGGTGCATGTGGTAGTTCTAAGGTTATTTGAAGACATTTATATGGCTATGCATTCAGATTAAATTAAATGTTAATAATATGCCACAATAATAATGGCAACAGACCAGTGAGGGAGACAAATATTTTTACAGAAAATTTATTATTCAATATAATAAGCTCTGTATTTCTAATTTAGGGTAGGGAAGTTGGACAAAAAAAATACCCTGGATTCTGCCTGGACTTGGTTGGGGTAGATGTATTGGGGGGTGTTCACCAAGAGTACACAAATGAGAAGACACTTGTGGTATTGTTAAAGGGGAAACAGGGAGCAGAAGCTCCCAGCCACACTGTGCCCAGTTACAGCCACATTAAAAACATATCCCCAAAGCTCCAGGGCTCGGTTCTCGCAGTTGCCAAGTGAGTGTTCTCTCTTCATTGATCATACAGTCATTCTCACCGGTCCTTTCTGAGCTGTTCTATGTCCTTAGGGGTGTATACTGGATTTCAATAATCTCGGGTTGGGAAAGTCATTTTGTTTTTGACCTCAATTTGTTGATTTGTGACATCATTATTATCGCTGATTATAATTATTGCTGATAGGGTTTTGGTGAACATTGGATACTAAATGTAAAGTTCCTGATAAATAGTAAGTTCTTAATAAATGGTTGTTATCATAACATGTTGTAATTATGTTTTTACATGTTGGTCTCCCCACAGGAATGTCTGCTTATCAAGGCAAGGACAATGTCTTACTCATGTTCTTGTTTCCAGTGTAGAATGATGTCCTCAGCTAGGTACAATTTTGCGCTATTTGCCTCCCTACCCAAGGGGCATTTGGTAATATCCGAAGAAATTTTTGGTTGTCACAGTTTGGGGGAAGGTGACACTGACATCTAGCGAGACACTGTTAAACATCCTGCAATGCACAGGATAACCACCTCACGGTAAATAATTCTGTCCAAAATTTTATTAGTGTGGAGGTTGAGAAACACGGATCTATAATAATACTAGATAGTAATAGGTGCACAAAAAATATTGTTGGATGAATAATGCATGGATGCACGGATGAAGAAATAGATGAATGAATATGGCTGGCCTCACATATGTTTAAAATTGTAGCACTTCTGAACATTTAATTCAATCTGAATGCATAGACACATATATATCTTTAAATAACACTACAACTACCTCACGAAACAAATTACTCATTTTTAGTTTATGATATGGTTTTGGATAGTCACAAATTTAGCTGTGATCCATATTTGCAGATCAAAGTGTAGTAAGTAATACCAGCTAACATTTACTGAGTACTTACCACATGACAGTTTTTCTGTGGGGCATCTTGCATGTACTATTGCCCTTAAACTTTGCAATCACCTTTACTACCACCAATTTACAAAGAGGAAACTGAAGTTTGAAGAGGATAGTGGCCCAAATATACTAGATTATTAATTTAGGGAGCCAGGATTTGAGCCAATGTCTTTCTTAATCCAGTGCTTGTTTGCGTAGCCACTAGATTATTGCTTCCATATACCATGTATGGATAGTACATGAATATACACCAGATATAACTATAATCTGGTGTTATTATAGGATTTATAGGACATTCACAATCATGACTCTATGGTAACTTGTCATGGGTGTTACCCTATAGATGCCTTTGAAAACTTACATGTAAGCTCCACATTAAAGGTTCTTTAATATTCACGATGTTCATGGATTTGGTAGCTATTGATTTGCCAATATGAATTAATATCCAGCAAATTCAGATATGAATTAATATCCAATAATTTAAATATATATTATGATTTTGTTTCACAGAAAACCAGTAAATCTGGTACAATGTTTAGAGCCATATTCTTAGATCTATTGATTTTTTCCCCTTCCTATCTTTGTCTCAACTTTTACACTCAGAAACTCGTTTTCAAAGATTGATTGCACATCCTTTCCCCTTTTAGAGTTAACACAGCTTCTCTAGAATTTCAATTCAGTTTACTCTGAAGAACTGCAGAATCTGGCAAGCTTCCCAGGCCAACTTATCTTTTGGGGGAAAAAAAGTGAAAATTACTGAAGGACTAAGGGACAATTGTGTTGCTGTAAAGAGCTGTAGAAATCTACTTTTTAGTTGCTACAGGACAGGTGGGAAAGCGACGAGGTAGGAAAGGAAGGCTATATAGTGCTATTGTAATTTCATCTGTGAAAAATAAAATCTCGACGCCCTTTATGTATTTTCATTCAGGACACTAGTTCTGGGCAGGATGGCACCTGTGCATCTGGCTCCTAATTTCTGCCTCTATGCAGTCTGTCCATCTCCCCTCCCAGCCGTCTCTCTGTCCATGCACTCGCACATCTAGCCACTGCCTGCTTGCTGCAATAGCCCGGGGACCCTGGGCATTAGCTGTTCGAGTCCAGCTCTGGCAGTCACTGGCAGTGCACATCCATCCATATCTGTTCTCAGCAATTCATTTAATCATGCTGTGGCTCAACGTTCTCACCTATAAAATGTGATAATGTCCACCTGAAAGAGTTGTCGTTATAATAAAATAAAGATGCAGGTGAAGAGTTTAGAGCAACATCTGAAGCCTAGTAAGAGCTTAATACATTGTTATGACTAAGGCAGGCAAAGTAGAGCAGGGATCGAAGGAGCAATCCCCATGAGGACAAACGACAAAACACGGGAGCAGTTTTAAAGTGGGGTAGAAGGAGGGGTGACTTCATCATTCATTACCTGCAGCTCCCTTTTCACCTTTCTCTCCTTTCCTGCCGTCTCTACCATCTCTTCCCGGAAGGCCGATGCGACCGTGGGGCCCAGGGGAACCATTTGCCCCGGGGGGGCCTGGGGGTCCAGGTAAGCCAGGAATGCTACAGATATACCTTGGGGAGTAGTTCTCTCCTTTCAACTGATTACCCCGCGGCTGTCCACTTGCACAAATGGCAAAACTTGTAACATACAGCAAGACAAACATCTTTGGCTCTGGAAGAGAAACACGGGGACATAAATTAACCCTTTCTTTGGAGGGCGCAGAGTTTGGCATAATAGAACATGAGAACTGAACATGTTCTCAGTTTGAACCTGAGAATGGGCATTTGCAACAGTTCACTCCAGTGTTCACCTTTTCACACATGTAAAGCTCTGTTTGTCCTCGTAAGTCCATTGAAAACTATGAACACATTATTAACACAGCATTCCCAGAGCTCTTAGACAAGAGTTGATACAGACGGGAATTGATAAAAAACATTTTCCAAATAAATCACTATGTTGCATTTATTCTTCAGGAATCAATGATAGACTTTGAAAAGTGATATTTTCTTTTTGCAAAAGCAATGCATTTTTTAAAATAGAAAGTTAGAGATGCAAATGAATAAGATAGACATGAATGTTATTTTCATCACCCAGAGCTTTACATTTTAATGTATATAGCCCTCCAGGCTTTTTTTGCCTCAGCTATGGAAAAAAGTGACATTATGCCATTCCTACAAATCTTTACCTTTTTTTCACTTAACAGTGTATCATGAACATTTTCTCATGTTGAATTTATTCATAACACTAAAAAATTATTGCTTTTGTCTCTACTATCTTTTATGCAAATTACACCCCTCTTATAGACATTTAGGCTGTTTCTGGTTTGTTCCCAATACAAACACCATGCTAGCCATCATTCCAACTAATCTTTGCAGGCACCCATGATCATTTTCTTAGAATTTATGGGCTTTTTAAAGCAGGAGAAAGGAAAAGGCATTTTCAGGAAAACTATGTTTTTCACTTGATAACCATGTGTAATGCCAATTAGTGTTAATTGGAGTACTGTGAATGTCCTGAGGGGGGGGGTCTCAAACTTTAATTTAAAATCTGCAGGATAGAATGCCATGGTGTCCCATTAAGCCCTTAGCACTTGTGCTCAATTAAAGAGCTGTATGAAATTAACCCATGCATGGCACCATGTGCTTTGAGTGACACAGACAGCAGCTCTGATCTAATAGGACTTGGGTTTTCACCCTACAAAGCCTGGCAGCTGAGAATGATGGATCATTTATTAGCATGACATCCTGGCATAAAAGCTGGGGGGTGGGGGTGAGGTGGGGAGCGATGTATTAACGGGGGATACCTAATTTTCTAGGCTTTATAGTCCTGGGAATTAGCAGTTTCTTGAATGGAAGAAAATATATAGGTGGTTCTTGGGTCATGTAAGAGAGTGGTTTTGGGATAGTTAGACGTGTGCTTTAAAAAGAAATCTATATAGTACCTGAGCTGGCATATACTTCCCTGAAGGAAAGAATTATAAAATGCAGGAAAAGCAATCAGTGGGAGTTTCTTTTGTCTTTTGACAGCCACATCAGAAAATTAACCAGGCTCACGGTACCACTTTTGCAGTACCCTTGGGGATTGCAACATCCTGGAACTAGACCCAGAAATTTGCCAGAACATAGGAATGACAAACTGAGACAAACACAGTATGCACATGTGGTTTTGAAATAAGCCTGATTCTTAGAAATCTTATTAGTGAAAACCCAAGACAACTTATCCAAATTTAGGCTTTGTATCCTTGAACAATTCTCAGTGTTACCATCAAAAAAAAAAAAAAATCCAGGAGAGCCATTTTTGCTATGCTCTGTTTGCTAGACTTGACGTACAGCACAAACCCCAAATTATTGACTCTATTGCTCAGCTGGGATTAATGCACTTTTTGACAAGCCCAATGGCTCTGATGAAAAAAAAAAGCCCAAAGGAGCCTCAGATGAAAAAAAAAAAAAAAAAAAAGAAAGGAAAGAACATTCATCCACATCCCTTGCCACAGCTAAAACAAAATGCATTGATTAAATTAGAAGTTTCTCCCTCTTGTAAAAGGCTGGTTAGAGGAGGCTTTAGAAGGGACATGAAAGTAGAGACCATGCTCACAGAAGATACTCCTTAGGTGGCTTTTCACCAGACATGGATGCAAGGCTGTAGGCTGAGGCCAGGGTTGGTTCCAAGAGGGACTTGAAATGATGTGGAGAGAACATGTTTGGGCAGTGGCATCTCAGACACTGTGATGGAGGTGTGGAAATAACAACTATGCCAACAGTCAAGGGGACAATCTGTGAAGAAGAGTATGGTAAGGGTCTAGTCGGTGGTTGATGAAGGAAGCAGAAATGCTAAAGATTACTTGAAAGAAAGGCTATTCGATTTTGATGATAGCCAGGCAAAAAAGCACTCAAAGAAGGAATAAATTAAAACAAATGGAACAGATTTATTCAGTCCAAATGGGTAGCTTTTCATTGACAAATGCACTAGAATATTGTCTGAACAGGAGTCTAAATGCTGCAACTTTTAAAAAAGGCACTCAACATGCTTATTCCTTAACAACGCTCATCAGAATTGAGGAGCAATGTGTTGTGGTACCTGATGTATAAGGGCGGCAGAGAGGGGAGTGGTCAGCCAAGTACTGGGGCTCAGTTCATGCAGGGTGTAGATTATAGTGAAAAACTGGACTTCTGTTTCCAAAATGGTGGCATAGATGCCAGCAGGAAACCAAAAACAGACACACAGCACTGAGATCTCACCAGCAGTGTCCCACAACATAACTGTGAGGACGAGTCAGTTCTGGGGCCACAGAGAAGTAAAAGAAAACCTCAAACAGACAGTAATAGAATCAGATTTTCATATATGCAACACCCGCCCCCACAATCTACCCTGCACCAAGCTTGCGGAAATTTTCCCGACTCATGGTTTCCACACTGGAAAAAGTGAGATCGAGATGGACCACCATCTTGGGTTCTTTGGCAGGAGACCTGTCCGTCCATGCCTTTACCCATGGGAAGCACTGGAAGCACCTGAAGGGAGACATATCCCTGAGGATAGCAAGAGACACGTGGGGGAGGTGGGGCCCAGGAAACTGCTCTGTAACTGAGCCAAAGATGTGAAGAAGGAGGTGAGAAAGCGAGACATGTGGACACCTTGGCGAAGATGGTTTTTGACAGACATAAGAGGCATGTGAAGGCTTTAAGGCAGAACATAGCAAGTGTCTTTGAGGAGGACCAAGGAACTCTTTGTTCTTGTTAAACTAGCCACGGAAAACACTTGGAGAAATGCTGATTAAATCAGTGCAAAGATTGAACTCCTGGAAAATATGTTCATAGATTGAGATCCCTGTGTAAGTAGTGTATTTTTCTTTCTTAAAAAAAAAAAAAAAGATGTTTGTGGGAATGTAAAATGGTGCAGCCTCTGCAGAAAACATTATAGGGATTCCTCAAAAAAAAAAAAAAAAATTAAACAGAATTGCCATGTGCTCTGGCAATTCCACTTTTGAGTATATATCCAAAAGAAGTAAAAGCAGGGACTAAAACAGATATTTACACATTCATAGTCACATCAGCATTATTCACAATGGTCAAAAAATAGAAGCAAACCAGTGTCCACTGACAGATGAGTGGATAAACAAAGCATGGTCTACACATACAATGGAATATTAATTAGCCTTAAAAAGAAAGAAAATTCTGACACCTGATACAACGTGGATGAACCTTGAGGACATTGTGTAATGTGAAATAAGCCAGTCACAAAAGGACAAATACTGTGATTCCTCCTATATGAAGCTCCTAGAGTAGTCGCATTCATAGAGACAGAAAGTAGAATAATGGTTGTTGGGAGAAGCGGGGAAGGAGGAATGGGAAGTTATTGCTTAATGAGTGCAGAGTTTCAGTTTGGGAAGATGAAGAATTTCCAGAAAGATGATGATGATGTTTGCATAACAACATGAATGTACTTAATGTCGCCGAACTGTACACATAACAAATGGTCAAAGTGGTAAATTTCATGTTATGCATATTTTACCACAATAAAAAATACTAAATGAAAAAAGAGATGAATTGGGATGCGGGGGGAAAAAACCAGTATTCTTATTTCTGTGCCAGGTGTTGTAAGGACATCCTTTACTTAATCCTCACACCACTGTGTAGGGAGTAGGTGCTATTATCTTCCCTTTACAAATGAGAAAGTGGAGACTCGGTGGGCTCACGTCCACACAGGCATGAAATGGCACAGTCAGGATTTGAACTGAGTTCTTTTCTTTCCAAACACTTGAGTTTTCCCCTACATCATGTGAGGGAAACTCTTAACATATTACTTCATGACAAAGGGCTGGACTTGATTATTAATTCAAGTTGAAAATGTGCTTTGCCTGGAAATCATTAGAATGAGGATAGGTAATCATGCAAAGCCAAAACTGGACATTTCCTTGGCCCCCAGAGGTAGAGATTTCACAACAGCAGGCCCTGTCGTGGGAGTGGCGGTGTGCTAGGGGCAGGATGGGGACCCGAGCTGTCCACGCCCCAGTTCCTTCTGTGTTGTGGTGCCTCAGCTACTTGCCTTTGGGGCTCCCATCGTCCTCCGCAGAACTGACTTTCCTGTTAGCCAGGAATTCCCTTCCTTCTCCTGGCACTCCTCGAGTCCCTGCAAGGTCCCACAATCACCTTGTGTTGTGGCCATCTCCTGACCTGCTTGTTTCCCCACCAAAACGTGAACTCTGTATCGCTGTCATCTATGACAGAGACTAGTCAGCAGTAGAGGCTCGACAGATGTTGAATAAAGAAAAATATGTATTCACCAATATTTATTTTTGTCAGCCATTCACAATTTATAAAGTTTTGGCTGATTTATGTAAAGTGCTCTGATGGCCTAACACTAGAAAAAAAAACTGACATTTGCAAGAAATTTTATCCTGTAGAGAGCAATACTAAGTCCATATCCACCTCCCAAAGACCCTTTTGTGGTAGGGTAGACAGAAAACCAAGGTCCAGAGAAGTCCTGTAACTTGCCTATGGTCACAAAGCTCCAGGCCAGAGACTGGAACCCAAGTCTTCAGTTTCATGGATTCTTCCTACAGAACCATCTGTTTAACAAACTAAAAAGCTACCAGAATGAAAACAAGCCATTGCATCTACATCTGCCAACGTTCTAGAAAAAAGCGTAAATACCGTACCTTGCTCTTGGGTGGCGGGTTGCTGCAGGATTCTAAATCCACAAGAGACTGGGGATCTTTCATGAGCGCTCAGTGAAAACCTTGCTTTGGTACCAGACAGAATAACAGATCCAAGTTCTCAAAGATTTCCAAATAGTTGTGCTAAAAATAATTTTCTCGTTTAGTCCCAAAGAGCCAGAGGCCCTGGAAGTCATTCATCCAAGGGAGGCTCAACTCAGGGACCAGTTAAAATGACGGTTTTGTTTGGGATGAACTTTAATTGCCTGCGATCCTTGACTGGTAAGTTTTAGAGGGTTCTCCTTCTCTGTGTGTTGTGGCCTCATTTTTAGATTTGTTTACTTAATTTTTTCCCTTTTCATTTGTGTTCCACTGAGTGGATGTTTCAGGAAAAAAAAAATTACTCACTGACTGGAAATTAGTTGCTAACTTAGAGAAAAGAGCCATTTCGTATTTGAGAAGTTTTTGAGATAGAATATTCGGATTCTGGACATAGTATGGTGTCTCGTGGGATAACAAGGAACACTGTCCCCACTCTTGGTAAATATGGCAGGAAAATGACCCTCATTCTATGTACTGTGAAAAGAAAGAGAGCTATGAATACTGTTCTGATGCTTTCTTTGTTCTTTGCTGAATAGAAAAATGATCGAGTTTTTTGTTTTTAGAAAACTAACATGTCTTTGTGCTTTAAAGAACTGATCATAACAACTTAAAAGGCAGAATGATTCTCCATAGCCTGTGACTAGTCATCTTTGGAGCAATCAATTTCTTTGTTTCCTTCTGCTATGTATTTCTTATATCTCCTTGGCAACAGCAATATATAATTTATGATGTCATTTATGGAAATTAAATGACTGAAAAAAAATCTTGTTTTTATCTTGCTTTTCACCTCATTTTTTCTCAAGCAATGAGAACTCTAATGGAAGGAAATATTCCTGGAGTTAGAGAAGGGAACGCTGACCACAAATCTGACCAAGAAGACTGGTGAGCTCCCATTTGGATGGGCTCTATTTGGTTTAGGTATCCATCCTTCGATCTGGAGGAAATGGTCTTTTGAATTTGTTGGCTGTCCAAAATCTGAATGCCATCATGGTGTGGTCAAAACAGTATCTTGAGCATAGAAGCTAGTCATAATTTTTGCTAAATTAGAGTAGAATCTTAATCAGGCAGAGTCCCTGGGTTTGTTTTCTCATCCTCAAAATAAAATGGTTGTCTGTGATCATTTGTAAGTTCCTCACAGTTCTTACTATTCTCTAACAAAACGTTGGTGCCTGTGTTGCCCATTGAACAAACTTAATTTGAGATGTTGCCTCCTTTTAATATGTTCATTTATTTGTTTATAAGTGATGACTTCTTAAAAGAGAGACACTCACTCTTCTTTAGAATAGCACAGTCTCTTCCAGGCAGCTTAGAAGCAAATGAATTTGTTGACCAATAAAAGAATAGATATGTTCTTATTTTTCTGCCTTAACTTGGCCAAGTGTTGATACAGTTTGTGGATGTTCATATTTGCTTTTTGTATCATTCACGACTTCTCTAATTTCCCATAAATGCTGTTTACCACACTTTTGAAGATAAGGTTTTTTGTATCATGAAAATATCACAGTCCTTTTTCTGTTTTCTAATACAGATTTGATTTTTTTAAAAATTATTTTCATTTCAGATAATTTATTATAATCTGTATTTTTCTAGACTTATTCTTCTTCACAGAGAGAATGAGCTTTTAAAATTGTTTCCTAGAGCAGTGGTCCCCAACCTTTTTGGCACCAGGGACTGGCTTCATGGAAAACAATGTTTCCACGGACTGGAGTAGGAGATGGTTTGGGGATGATTCAAGTGCCTTACATTTATTGTGCAATCAGACCACTCTGCTAATGATAATCTATATTTGTGGCTGCTCCCCAGCGCTAGCATCACCCCCTCAGATCGTCAGGCATTAGATTCTCACAAGGAGCATGCAGACTAGATCCCTCGCAGGTGCAGTTTGCAGTAGGGTTTGAGTTCCTATGGGAATCTAATGCCACCGCTGATCTGACAAGAGGCGGGGCTTATGTGAGTGATGGGGAGCAGCTGTAAATACAGATGAAGCTTGATTTGCTCACCCTCTGCTCACCTTCTGCCATATGGCCTTGTTCCTAACAGTCCACCGACCAGTACCTGTCCTCAGCCTGGGCTTGGGGCTTGCAGTCCTAGAGCATTCAGGCCTCAGATGTATATAAAGCTTGGCAGTGTCTATTTCACTAAGTTATTTTCATACTTATTTTGGAAGCAGTGATGAAAAGTGATGGGCTGAAAAATATGTTAAAGGGAGTATTGGCTCAGAGTAAAAATTCAGATTCCATTTTTACCTGCCAGTCATTCCGAGGCCAGGGACTTACTCTGTCTCTGCTAGGCAGACAATTTTTATTATACCTCTCAGCCTGTGCTCTTTTCACCCCCTGGAAAGTTTGCTTTTCAACTGATTTCAGTTCAATCCATTCTAATCCAGTCGATGTTTCCAGAACATCTAACAGTATGCTGGTACACCAACTCTCAAAAAAAAAAAAAGAGTAGCTTTTGTCAATTTTCTTGGTGTAAATACTATCATGGTCAGTTTCAAACTACCACCTGGTCTTCATTGAATACAAAGTGGGGAAGGTATGTGCAGAATTGGCCCTTGCTGGCTGGTCTGAGCTGGCTCAGCACACCTCTCATATTTCTTTCTCTCTCTCTCTCTCTCTCTCACACACACACACACACAAACTTTTTGCTAGGTGCTGTAATTATTTAAAAAAGGAAGGTTCTAGCTGGTGTATAATGAGCATGTACAATGTGCCAATGCATTTACAAGCATCACCTCCTTTGGTTCTTGCTATAATCTCTTGAGGTGAATAAACTTATTATCCTCCTTTTATAGATGAGTAATTTAGACAGTCTGATCCATAATTGACCCACCAACCACATTTCCTCCCTAGGGTGTTGCTAACATTACAAGATCAGGTTTCTGCATCCAAACAACTTGAAATGAGGTGAACCGCACCTGTCTCCTCCTCTTCCTCCCCACAGATGCACTGGGCCCTGTTAGGAGTCAAATCTTCTCTTTCTAGCCTCAGTGCCTTGCATATATTAATGTCATCTCCTGCAGCAGCAAGTCCCTACTGAGCATGTCCTCTCCATGCCCCTTTATCCTGTTCACATTTATCTTCCTTATGCATCACTTTCTCCAGAAAGTCTACCCAATACTCTCAGGCAGGTGCAACCCTGAACCCTCCCAGTCCATTATTTGGATCTGTCTTTTGCAATTTGGCTCACATGCAATTTAGCTCACTGGTTCTTAACTAGATCTACTGATTCAGCATACCAATGGATTAAGTGCAGGCATTTATATTCCAAAATCTCTATGAGTGATTCTGATGGGCAGACAGGCTCTGGGAACCTTTGCTTTATCTACTCTTGCTCGAACGATGCTCCATCTCTTAGTCCTTCCAAACCTGGGAGTTTGGGTGATACAAATATGGTTTTCTTTGTCTCTCATCCTGCTCTTTTATTCATTACTTCATCACATATTTATTTAGCTGCTACTATATGCCAGGTGCTGAATGCTTGATCTTGGTGTTCAGTGGAGAGCAAATGTAGAGCCCTTGTAGAGACAAAATCTAATGGGAAAGACGGACATTCATCAAATAATCACAACTAAGTTTAACGGGATGTTAATTGGGTGTTAATTCCCATCCACTTGGAATTTCAGTTGAGGACACAAAACAGAGAACAATGGGCAATCAATGCTCACACATCCGCTTAGATCTTGTTAAAGGCCAGCTGGTTCTGACACTGACCATCATCTATTTTCAATCCACATAGGAGAATACTAGGAATTCAGAAAGTGTTAGTGATTGAAGAGAGCTGCCAAGGCAGAGAGTTGTTAGCTGGTAAGGGAGTGCTGAAGTGTTTCCCTCCTTCCTTCCCATGGGGAGGGAATGGAAGGGTTCCCTACCTCTAGCCGAGTGACAAGGACCCCAAGGGAATCACTGAAAATATTGGGGTGCCTGCAAGAAGCGAACTATTTATCTTGCTCTCCAGTTGGACATCAGCTGAGCTGCGAGATACAGAGCCTTACAGTCCTCATGGGAGCAGAGAAATGTGATCTGGAAGTTGTGTGAGGGCCTGACCCACCCGTGGGGTTGGAGGTCTTATGTGACCATAGAAACTGGACAGCTCTTGAGCAGAAGGCGTCTGGGGAAGAGAGAGAAGTGCAGGCATCACTGTTGATGAGGAAAGAAGACACGAGTTTCCCAAGCAGCTGATGGTCCTGAGGAAGGCAGCTGGGACTGGGCCATCCACATGGGACCTCCTGAGACTAGAAGGAGTCCTCCTGGGGTGGGGAAGCCACTCAGATGCCATTGAGTGCATCACTGAGTACAGGAGCTGAGGCTGGCGTCTGAGCAATGCAAGCTGTCAAGCAGGCAGGGTATTACCGGTGTCAGGGCCCTGCACGGCATGGAGGTCCCACAGGGAGCCACTGGTGACCCTGTGACTATGTTCACCCTCAGAGAGCCAGCACTGGGATATCCTGGGCACAGAGCAGACACTGGCAGCCAGGAGAGAACCATGCAAACAGCACTTATTAAGTAAAAATAATTTGGTTACTTTTTTTCTAATTCTTCTGCCTTCTGACCTGACTCTAGAGATGCTAAAAGTGGAATGGGGGTGGCAGGAGAGGGGTGAAGAGTGAAAGAGCATAGTGTATCCTGAGCTGAAGCCATGGAGAAGGGACAAACTTTGCTTTGGACGTGAAATAAAAGTTTTGATTTAGATATGTCTTTTTAATTTCTAAAAATGAGTCACAATTGACTAATGAAATTGTTATGTAACTGAAAGTTACCAGAAAGCCAAGAAATTTGCCTGAAATGTCCCGAAAGGGTAGAGAAGAAGGATCCAACAGAATTTGGCTAGGACAAATGGTGGGAGAACAATGAAGTTGTTTCTTGTTTATATCATATCGAGGATGGATAAGATCATTTGATAAATTCAATAAACTTTGGAGAAGGCTCTGAAGGAAAAGTAAAGGGGTGTCACGGAGTGTTTAGCAGGGCAACATAGTAGAGTCTATGGGTTGGAGAGGGCTTACCTAAAGAAATGACATCTGCCCTATAATATGAAATAAAAGTAGGCATGAACCAGGGTAGGAGTGAGAAAACACTTCTAGGCAGAGAAGACGCCATGTGCAAAGGCCCTGAGGTGCTGCGTGGAGGCCATTGGAAGGAGCAAAGAGGAGCACGAGCCTGGAGGGAGGATGAGCCTGCACCAAGCAGGGCTCTGCAGACCACGGAAGGTTCTGTTCTTTGTCCTCAGGGCAGTGAGAGCCCTGGACAGTCTGTGAGCAGGATTTCATGGACCAGACTGCTGACTCTTCCTCAAGCCTGACTACCATAATGAGGGTGATGTAGGTAGAGGTGGGGTCTGCTGCCACTTTCCTGGCTTTTGGAGCTGACTTCAACGAGCTGAAAAGACCCAGTTTGGTTTCTAAACAGAACCTCTTTCATTGTAGGGGAAGAGGTAGGTCCTTATGAGAAAAGGATTTT